TTTCATAACACAAAATTTTTAATTTATGCTTTTCTTCATATGTCAATTTAACCTCTGGCACATAGTTCTGAAACCATGTAAGGATGCCTAACACTTTCCATATGGCAACTGAATTGTGGCTTTTAATTGCACCAACTGGTATCATTCAAGGATAATTCCCTTGGAATCTAGCTTTCTGCTACAGCATTGGCCGATTCACTAATCTCATCACCATGGCACTAATACTTTCAGATACTTTTTGATTGTTAATAGTCATATTATAATTTTCCCAAACCAGAGCTGTCAAGATACACTATTTCCCCCACTAATTAAATTACCTTGATTTGTTGGCACCAAATTTCAACACTAAATAAGATTCTGTTTCTCTCTCAATATTAAGTTGGGCCATTTCACTCTAAATGACATATACAATATTTTGTGTATCAGCATACTATTTCAGTCATACCAAGATCTAGCTCTGCTGAGTCTCTTGTTTATTTTAATCCTGAAAGTCAATGCAAATAATTATCCATACAATACTGACATTAATGCACTTGAAAATATTTCAGTTTAAGAGATTACTTCAAGCAGTCAAACAAGACAGCACCCAAGGAAATTTTAATTGCTCTTGTCACAATATCAGTAAGAAGGCAGTCTTTCAAATGTCATCTACCCAAGAGATGACCCCAAAGTAGTGCTAGAATGAAGTCTTCCACTACAACAACCTTTAAGCCACAGTATATACATCTCACTAAAAAGTCTATTTCCTGTTTATTATTTTCATTATGGATGAATGACCTACCCAGCTGTGTCTTCCATAAGACTATGTATTTTTATATGCACACACACATATGGTATTTAACAGTGGGTGAATAGGAAGTGCTTTTCTCTGTTTCTTTTTAAATTTAAGAATGATCGTGCTACAGAAGCAGAGAAGTTGACACTGGTGTAGTCTCCTCTCAGCCATGCAAGGAATGTCCATTAATGGCACTGGCAGTTACAGGCACAGAACAAATGGAGAACAAGCCCCACTTCTGAAGCAGTGGTGTGCCTCAGTATTTCATGCTGTATTATTCCCAGATCAGATACTCAACTCTAACTAATATCAATTAGGGTTGAATATGAGAATCACTAGCACTGAGGAGCCCAGCAGAAGTGGTAAGCTAAAGTTTCTTTTATTTTACCTAAAATGATTACTTTTAACTTGGCTTACTGTGAGTTGGTTTGAAATCTAATTAAAAATATAACATTTTTTCCAATTCCAAGCACAGATCTCAAAGAGACACACAAGAAACCAGTGAAATTTTTATGGCTTTGAAGATAAAAGTAAATTGAACTAAGCAAATGTCATATTTAATATTTTCAGCATAGAGTTACGTCACAGTTAAACAAATAAATACATGAATACTTGCAAACAATGTTCAACTCCAAAAATAGTTTGCAAAAGTAAACACACAGAATAAAATTAAACTTAAGAATTATAGGATAATCCACAGCATCAGAAAACCTTTCTGGGCACAAGTTAACTCATTCATAAAGCAGCAAAAGAAGTGTATTCAATTGCTCTAACAGATTTACAGCCCCAGTGGTTTCAATTAGCTTTGAAACTAGAAGATGACTCTGGACCTCATACTTTACATGGATGAAGCAGAAATCTCTTTTTCTTTAGTTCTGCCTGATGTGGAAGGCTGCAGCCCAACCCTCATCCTCCACAGTAATTAAAACCCTTGGAGCACAGCAGCCCCTGCTGGGAGGGTGGCAATGGTTTAATGAGCTGAGTTCAGCCTAGAAGAGAAAGTTGTGTACGCACCAGAAGCATGTATTCCAGATACACTCCCTTTCCCCTGGTTCATGCATTCACCCAACATACTATGAGAACATTCTCAGATGACTGATGCGTTTGGCAACAGCTGGACACTAACTGTTCTTCCAGTGAATTGGAAGCAGGAGACATGGATGGATGGGACACGACATGAAAAATAACATCAACTGAGACTGATGTTATTGAAACTCAAAAGAGTTTCTTTTGACCAAGAAACTCTTAAAACTTCAGTTCAGGAGGATAAAAGGTGGTGTATTCGTGAATCCTCCTTGTGTCAAACATCCCTTGAGTGAGTTGATGTAAAGACCTCCCCTCCAAGATTATCATAAATTCAGTTTTTCTAGAGAGGAGCACAAACAAAAAATTTTTGCTTTCCTGCATTAGTCACTCACTGCTCTTGTAAAATGCTACATGAATCTCCCTGAACTTCATTGTCATCTCCTCTGGATGACTAACTTCAGCAAAATGATTCAGTGTCTCTGTTCTTGAGGAAAACAGCCTTCCTCTAGAACCAAAACAGAATTTCTGGCTTATACAGAGCAGCATAAGTCAAATTTCACTATCACATTCAAGTTCTAGTCAAAATTATTCAAATCTTTTAAGTTTCAGATTTGAAAGCAACTGAATGCTCTCTTCTACGAAAAACAGGTATTTGGACCTGTACACAGGATTTTAGCAGATAAGATTCAATAAAACCACCATCAACAAAACTCTGGTTAAGGATTCCTAGGAGGAAATTATTTCTCAGACCATTATTTTTTTAAAACTCATTGGATGTTTCTCTGAATGCAGATATTTTCATCAGTGTTTGACCTAACTCCTTCTGCCGTAAGTCACAAGCTCAGCAATAAGGACCTATTTCAGGGCTAAAAAGTATGTTTTAATGAGAAGCCAAAGTTTCAGCTGTGATACAATAAAACTGCACCATTCTACAGAGCCCTGGAAACTTACTGAACATTTTTGGAAGAATTTTGAAGTAGTAAGAGCCCTTGGTCAATTCAAGTGCACCAGTACTACATTACTGGGGAATACACAACTGTCCCACACAATCTCAAGTGACTAACCATTACCAGAAGTGACTGCAATTGCTACATCTTGAGATGAACAAAGAGCCAAGAGGTTAGGCTACAATTCCCTTTGTATCTTGGTATAATTATACAAGAGATCAAAGAGATCTCAGAAAAGAAACAGTCATGCAATCTCGCAGCAAATAGCTGAGACTCCATAATCCTTGTCAAAAAGACTGTACATATGGCACATCTGGTTCCAATGTAGGATTAGGAATGCACCCTTCCATATTACAAAAAGAGCATATTTTAGAGGAACTTTAATGTAGCTGTCACAGTGTGCCTGTGACAGGATGACAATTAAACTAAGTCAATTAGCAAGCGATATATGCATGCAGATAATACCCAATATATTAGGCAATAAATTTGTATTTTCAAACATTCAGCAACAGCTCTATCAGGATGACAGTAAAAAGCCTCATGGGAACACTGCTTTTAAACATACTTAAACCTATTTACATTATTATAATGTACTAAAACTGTAGACTAATTTTTAGCTAATGGCTTGCTAATTGCTGAGCTATCATGAGTAAAAGGACACCTTAAGAAGAGAAATACTCTCTCTCCAGCTGAGCATACCACATAGAAACGAAAACTGAAGTTTTGCGAATACAAAAGTATCTCTGACAAAGTTGGGGTTTTTTTCCTTCTTGTCAGAAAACAAACTGTATTTGTGGAAGAAAACACGTTTCACAAAGCTAAGGTCAGAGTTTTTTGCCTTTAACTCTTGCATTTTAAATCCATATTTAGTTTGGTGAGTTGAGCTTCTTTGTAGAAAATGTGTATTTGAAAGGTAGAACATATCTAAAAAGCTTAACTTACTAAAATGGGGATAATGAAAAGAATTAAAAGCACATGGGTTCACTCTTTGTGTCTGTATCACACATCTATGTACCACTGTTGATGAGACCTTCATTCTTTGCACACATTGTCTCCAAGTAAAGCACAATAAAAACCACTTCAACCAACCACACCTGCAAGTTGCACATGAAGTGATTACACTCATCAAACAAACACTTGCATCAATACCTTGTCGTCGTCGTCCCGTCCTGTCCCGTCCCCCCCTTACTTCTTCCAAACAACTTATCGTCCCCTATACTGGTGGAATCTAATAATTCATCATTATCTTTTCCCATACGCATCTTCTACACACTTTAACACCCAATACAATTAAGTATTCTCCAATTGCGAGATAGTTTTTCCTGAGACATGGAAAGTCCAGGTTTCTGACAATAAAACTGGTGGCTAACAAAGCAAAGAGCCTGCAGGAGGTTTGGTGGCCAGGCTCTGCTTGTGCTTTCAGAGCCACATTCCTTGCTGGGAAGCACAGATTCCAATCTCCCCATCTCTCAGGTTACTTTTCCACTGATGAAGCTTTCAGGGCTTGATGCAAAGCTCTCAGAAGTCAATGGAAGTCTTTCAGTAAACATCAATAAGCTCTGGATCATACTCTGAAACACTATGAGGACCATATCTATGAACTGTTAAGTCTGTTTACCTCCCATCATGCCTTCTTGTTTAAAGAGACAACATTAAGAAGAAGGGAAGGAAAAAAAAAAGGCAACTTAAACATTTCCTTCAGCTCAACTTTACACGAAAAGACCAGAAGCAAGAGGAAGGGTGGCCAGTGTGCTAACTGCCAGGATAAGCAACATGTGCAATGACTCTTACGGAGAAAACCTGCCCCCCATTATTAGCAAAGAGCAAATAAATAACAATACAGTCTTCGGGCACTTCTCCTTTCCAGAATTCCTCTGCCAAAATGTCACAGCCGAACTTGTACACCAATCAGGGTGCACAAGGTTGCACACACTGGCAGGGTGCTGGGCTTTGCCCAGAGATTCTCTGTTCCTGTTTGTGAAGGGGTTTGTTCTAATCGTAGTGCGGATAGGTTCTCTTACTCCTCTGGCTTTTGTGCCAGCGTCAAGTTTGCTCCGCACCTCCTAACTTCATCAAAGGACTGAAGGAAGCCACCCACGGTGCAGCCCTCTGGAGCAGCACTGGGGCAGAGCAAACCCTGCCTTTGCACAACCAACCCTTGGGAGGTAGAGAGGGATGTAGAAAGAGGTTTTGGTTTTCCCCGTTTCAAAAAGGAGGGACGGGGGGTGGGAGCAGCAAGGAAGCTGACATACCCTGGAGCTGGCGAGCCTGCACACAGCCCGGTGCTGGCAGCCTTGCTGGAGTCCCGAGCTGCTGCCTCCGCTGCTGCTGCTGCCCCCGGAGTATTTCTGCTTCACCATCCAGTCCTCCAGCCCTCTGCGAGCCAGAGAAGCGTTCACAGCAAAACTATCACCTAGGAAAGAGGAGACAATGCCGCCGCTGAGCCGCCCGCAGAGTCCGCCCGGCCCCCGCGGCCACCGGCATCCCCCGGAGACGGGCAGGATCGCCCAAATCGCGGCGGAAAGTTGAGGGGAGAGGGCAGGGGGCCGGGGGCAGGCACCCAGAGCAGGGGAACGCGTTCAAAGTTACTAGCAGCAAGCAGCCATCCCTACCTTCTGGACTTTCTCGGGGTTTACAAACGGCAGCTAGGCAGATCCGAAGGAAAGTGTGTGGGGGAAATAATAAAGGAAGATCATTAGACACCAGTATAAAATCACAGCAACAAGCCGAGTAAAATCCGAACGAGGGGAAGGGGCTAAGGAAGTAGCAAGTGAAAGGAACTAACCATGTTTCGAGTGAAGTTTCCCCATCTCTCTGCATTGATCTGCAATTACGATTCATTTGACTGTTTTCAGTAGGGTCAGGTTGGCTTCTTGTTATTTTTGTAGATCTATAAAATCCCAGCGTGTTTAGAAATCCATGTGCTCCGCTTCCCCTGCTCAGGCATGCAGGAGATCAGAGCTGGGCTCCTCTCCTGCAGCAAGGTCCGGCGTCCCCCGCTCCGCTCCAGCCTTCCTTCTCTCTCCTCTCTTTCCCAAAGACAGAGGCGGTTACAAAAGACCTTACTTCACCCACCGGGGAACATGATTGACACCTCATTGAGATTAGACCACTTGCAGGCAGCCTCCGCCTTCCCATTGGGCCGCGGCGGCAGATGAAAGGGGCGAGGGAGCCTTTTGGAGGCTAAAAAAAAAAAAAAAAAAAAAAAAAAAAAATAATGAGAGAAAGAGAAAAGAAAAAGGAGCAGCCGGAGCGCGTTTCACTTCCAGCCAGGCACGGGCAGCGGGGCCGCCCGCTCTGCTCCCCCAGCAGCTCCGCGGGGTGCACACAATGAGTCCCCGCAGCCCCGCTCCGCTAGCCGTCCTGACCCTGTCCGGGGCAGCGCCGCCCTCCGCGGACTCCCTAGAACCCCCGCGGGCAGCTGGCACTGCGCGGTGCAAAGCGGTTCCCCCGCCCGGCACAGGCTCTGGCTCGCAGGCGCCGCTCGCCCGGCGGGGTGCGGGAGGGAGCCGGGCTCCCGCGCTGCTCGCGAGCTGGCCCCCATCACCCCCGGCACTGGGACACGGTGCCGGGGTGCTCCTGACCCGCTCGAGTCATCTGGATCGCGAAGGAAAACAGCATGTCCGGTAAAGCAGTTGTACGGTTGACTTAGCCCGCAAACTGTCTTTTACGGGCATCCCTGTGCGCAGAAGGGATCCTACCGAGTCCCTGTTAATGGCAAAAGGGAGTTCTCGGGGGCAGATCCAGAACCCTTTCTCTGTGACTCACAGTGCTGGCAGCAGCGGGACAAAATCTCTATCAGCACTGTAATAATAAGTGGCCTGGTTTCGGATGGGATAAAGTTAATATTCTTGCTTGGATTTAAACCACGACGACAGTGATGATGATGATGATCAGTCATCATCAATGATAATAATAATAATAACAATGATGGTAATAATAATAATATCTTGAAATAACCTCCCTTTCTCCTCCAGTCTATGGGTGATATATTTTTTCCATATAGAATAAACTAAATGGAAACTTGGTGTTTCACAAAGACAATTCTCACAGTCATTAAACATTTTCTTTCTTCCTCTGGCTGGCCATTATGTTTCTGTTTATGAAAATCACATCTCCCCTGAGATCCTTGTAGTTCAACTAGGAGAGATAAAAGGCAGTGCATAGTAGAGTCAGAACAAGAAAAAACGAAGGCTTCTGAGAATTTTGCTGGAGAAAGTACTAGTCAAACTATACAGGGATTGACCCAGATGAGCCTGGTCCAAAAACTTCAAGGCCACATCTGTGCTTTCAAATCCATATGTTTCAAGCGCGGGAGGAAGGAGTTAGACTTGGGAGCGCATCTGAAAGAAAGATTCAAAGCATATGTAGTAACACTTCTGCAGGGAATTGGGACCGGGAGAGGAGGGTGAGGCTTGGAGCTCAGTTTTAGAAGGAATTCCAAAGCACATGGCTGTGGTGAAGGGCGGGTATGGAGCGGCTGCGCAGCACAGCCAGTCGAAAGACGTTAAATGAACCATTTAGAGCCAAATTGGTCTTTGGATGACTGCAAAGTCGTTTCTCACATTATTTCAACTATTTATCTGTCTAGCAAAGAAAACACTTGCGTTGTGAAATGCAGCCATTTCAACAGCATCAATTGTTTGTCAAAGAGCTAATCACATGAGTCTTTTGTGAATCTCTTTTTAAGTGTATTTTAATAATGTATTTGGCCCATTTTTATGTTGTGTATTTAAAGTGGCGTATTTGTTCCTTTGAAGACTGCCTCTTGTTTTAGGGAGAAAGAAGGGAAAAAAGAGATGAAGCAGACTCCTTGGGGCGTGAGCCTCACCTAGGCTGTGAAAACTTGTAAAAACTCTCATGCATATGAACAAATTTGAAATTGTAATACCTATTTTATTTTCCCCTCAGCTTACCATTTTTTAACTTCTTTGGCAAATGTTTTATTTGGGATATCACTTATCCTCACTGTTTATGAGACAGAGCACCATAGATGAAGTGCCCCCAAATGGTATGGATTTATTAACTGATTTTGTGAAGTGGTGCCCCCATCATTCAGCTCTTGGGAACAGAATGAGGTCTTAGGAATGCCATGAGTTCAGCAGCTCTCAACCAGTGACTGGGAGAAGAAGCCCTCACTTTCACAACAGATTACAGAGGTCCACTTGTGTCCCCATTACAGAGATGAAGGGACTTGCATTTGTAACACAGTCCCTGTTGTGCAGCTCTGCTTGCCCTTATGCAACATTTGTTAGAGTTTAAATCAAGCCCTTTTTAATTACAGCCAGTGATGTACCCTGCAAACCAAGATTTGCACAGGAGAGGTGAACTGACTAAGCCCAAATGTCAGTGACTGACTGCATACGATGGGATTCAGAGTTGCAATGCTTGGGCTTAGGAGTTACCCAAATACAGGCTGGCTACATTATGGTGAGTAGGAATCACAACGGCAGCTATTTCTTTCTCTGGGAGAGAGTTTTAGCTACTAATAAAGGGCCAAATCTTGAGATTCTTAGCATGGTTTTCAGCTGATTTCAGGAGGATTTAGCATGGTATGGCAACTGATCAGGGACCTCAGGATGTGACTCAGTAGAATGATAATGATCCCCAAAACTACAGGGACCTCGGGGGACACAAAGCCTTTTTTTTCCCCTTCCATGGAGCCAGAAGTGTGTTAAGTAGTGACGTCTAGTAAAATATCAGAGTAAAATACAGCATTCATAAAACTGTACTAATGGTTAAAGGGTCTCTAATTCAACCCAGTGACCCCAGTGAAAGCCATGACGTACAGTATTATTCATTGCCCTTTCATTAGTGCTGACTACACTGTACATTTTCAGAGGATGAAAAAGCCTTTTGAACCTTGATATACTATAAACTAGTTGACGATAGGAAATAAATGTATCCTAGCCAAGGAACAAGTGAATAAGACCACTCTGGGAATTAATTTTCAATATTCAATAGCATAGTAAAATTAATGACAATACCTGGCAATAGCAAGAGTTATATCATTAGATTATCAATTAGATTGAGAAGAACCCTGTGTGTACTGAAGGCTGTTCTGATGTCCAGACAGAGTTGAGTACTCCTATGCAGTCATATAAGCCAAACCAAGTCATGTTTGATTCTGTGTTTGCATATTAGCTGTAGAACAGCAGGCAAAAATACATACTAGCCTAGTGTATGATGAAGTAAGAGAGCATTGAAAAGGTGCAATTCAACATGTACCTAAAGACAACCAAACACAGTAAAAAGATGTGTGAAAGCACTCATGCTAAAACCAGTTCTTTAGATGCCAGTGTAGAAACACCACACTACACTACACACTAATGGTAGACCTGCCTTTAGACTGTAGATGTAGTCAGAGATCACATAAGACACAGACCTACAAATGTAGCCTGTTATGGCAAGCTCATAAATAGCTGATGGGATTCACCTCCCCATTACGCACACTCAAAAGTCTGTACAGATGGAGAAACCCAGCCCTGCACAGCACACCGGGCATGTGGCAGAACTACTAGTGCCCGAAGGCAGGGAGGGACTTTGCTTGGTGCCCAGGACAAGGCATCAGTGGTACACCCCTTCTACCAGGCTGCTGTGTCCTGTGTGTAGGAGCAAAGGGAGGAATAGGCATGATGGACGAAAGAATCACACTGATTTCCCTGTGTGGGTAACGGGTAAGTGGCAGGAAACTGCTTTCTCATTTTTCAGCTTTATCTCTTTTGTTTTCTTCCCCTCTCCTGCCATGTTCCCATCCAGCTGAAGATTAGAAAAGTCTGGGATTGGCCTCACAAGGTCTCATATGGGTGTTGTTCTTGTGCACCTGGAAGTGGCATACAGGTCATGCTAGACCACCGCCAGCAGAAGTGAGGGTTGAACTGTGTTTTTTTAAAGTGAAAAAAGAAACAAAAAACCCATGGAATTCTCAAAAAACAGTGCACACAGGGGCAGTGAAATGCAAACTGTGCTGCTTCTCCTCTGCAGCAAACAATCTATGTCTACATTTTACAAAAGTGTTTTAAGAAAAGGCTGCTCAATTGTGAAAGGAAACACATATAATTGCATGTTTTCAAAGATGCTCTAGTGCTCTCAGCACCATTGTCAGAGACAATCTGAAATATATCTAAGCTCTTAAGTTTTCCAGGATCCTGCTGAAAGACGATGTAGAACCACATCCCTCTCAAAATCTCAGAGGGTCACAAACCACATTCAGCCTCCATTTCAGCTGCTTTCTAATCAATCCCATTTTACTCCTTCAATAAGGAATTGCCCACAGCAATGATACCTCTTTAACAATTGCTTCAATTACTACCCTGCATTCGGGGTCACAGTCCTGCTCTTACAGGTATAACCGATCCTTTTAATAACATTTAAATTTTGGTTTGGTGACCATATGAGTGCTTTGGTCTTTCACTCCCAACACACACAGGTGGGATGCCTGTCATAAGACACTTTCAGCTCTTGGTACCTATGGTCTTGGCAGATTTTTCACCACTTTTGCCTCAGGCATATTTGCAGTCTGGCATGTCAGCACCCACTAGCTTTAGCAACTTTGCAGCCTTGGCCTATTGCCTCAAAGCTTTGGCATGAGTTTGCACTGTGGCATCCTTTCAACTCCAAACCTACTCGCTTTGCAGGTTTTCTTTGTTGCTTTTATTGTTGTTTTTTTTTTGGGGGGGGGATGTCAGCAACTGCCCTGACCCTAGAGGGGAAGAAAGACTGATCAGCAAGTTCAAACAGTGCCTATGCAGCAGAAAGATGTCTATCACAAATGAGCACATTCACTACATCACTTGCCCTGCTGTGTAAGCATGCCAGCTATTGCACATGCTCAGGTACCATGAGAAATTTTTTCCAGGCCTTCTTCAAGATTACCCCTATGCTTCTTAAGCCTGTGATGATCTGCTGGAGAAACCTTGGCAAACTTTGTAGTCCTGGACTGTTAAAACTCTATATTTCCATACTCTAGTGGACGTAGTTTCCATCATTAAAGTATTTTCTCTTTCACCTCTCTTCAAAACCAAGAAATCTCATCACAAAGAGACAGCTGTTGGGTTTAAGAGTTGGTAGTTTAGGGTGACAAGTGCTGATTCAGCAGATTCCCTGCTTTCCACCACGACCGCCAGGAGACAGCTAGATGTCCTCTATGCCGCCTCCATTAAAA